AAATGGGATGAATAAATGAAAGAAATATAAATACTAACCTCTGAATGAAAGCAAAATACCAGTTTCAGAAATACAATAAAGTTATTCTTTAATCAATGGAAAAGATTAACCTCTTCAGGTATTCAAATATTTGTTGATAAAAAAGTTAAAGGAGGCCAGGTGTGGTGGCTCATGCCTGTCATCCCAGCACCTTGGGAGGCTGAGGTGAGAGGATCACTTGAGGCCTGGAGTTGGAGACCACCCTTGGCATCACAGCAAGACCCTTTTCCTTACAAATAATTTTAAAAATTGGCAGAAGTGGTGACGTTTGCCTGTAGTTGCTACTCAGGAGGTTGAGGTGAGAGGATCATTTGAGCCCAGCAGTTCAAGGCTGCAATGAGCTGTGATCATGCCACTGCATTCTTAGCTGGGTGAGAGAGCGAGATCTTGTCTCAAAAAAATAAAAAAGTCAAAAGATTTTAAATACTAATTTTAAATTAAGAGCCTCGGAGCCTCTTCTTTGGGACACTATAAACCAAAATATTATCATGTTAAAATCTGCCAGTGAAACAGTAAATGGTTCCATCAATGTATTTCTCAATGTTCCATGATGTAGATACTATTGTCCTTTAACAAAGGAGGAAACTGAGACAGAAAGAATGAGCCATTAGGTTGGGTGTCGCGGCTCACACCTGTAATCCCAACACTTTGGGAGGCTGTGGCGGGCAAATCACTTGAGTTTGAGACCAGCCTGGCCAACATGGTGAAACTCCATCTCTACTAAAAATACAAATATTAGCTGCGCATGGTGGTGCACACCTGTAATCCCTGCTACTTGGGAGGCTTGGGGCACAAGCCTTGAGCTTGAATCTAGGAGGCGGAGGTTGCAGTGAGCCAAGACTGCACCACTACACTCCAATCTTGGTGACTGACAATGAGATTCTGTCTCAAAAAGAGAGAAATATTAAGTTATTAGCCCAAATCATACAATTATGCAGTTAGCATATTGTGAGGGCTGGATCCTGATCCTGGTTCCCAGCTGCCTCCAGAACCAAGCCCTTAGCCACCAGGCAATGCGGCTGTACAGCCTGATTGTCCTGCACAACTAAAAAGACCTAGGTTATGCTGAGAAGAGTCCTTAACAATAACAGCTACTGTTATATAGATTAGCATTATGTTGCAATAATGGCCACCCGCATTTTTTTGAAGACTGTAGAAGGGAGTTAAAGTGACCTCTTAGCCTTTCAATAATTTAGCCTAAAGAAAACTCTTGACCAACATATTTTTTAAAGACAAATAGAAGTTTTGCAACCGTGAATCTTCTAGTGTTTGAAATTAGATTTTGAAACATATGGCATGCTTTCTTTCTTCTTATGTTTAATATCAGGCAATTAGAACCTAGATTTTCAGCCGTGTTTGGTGGTGCACTCCTGTAGTACCAGCTCTCTGGGGGCGGGGGTTAGACGGGAGGATTGCTTAAGCCTGGGAGGTTGAGGCTGCAGTGAGCCATGATCATGCCACTGCTCTAGCCTGGGCAACAGAGCAAGACCCTGTCTTAAAAAAAAAAAAAAAAAAAAAAAAGAATGTAAATTTTAAGAGATTTCATGTTAGATGCCAAATATATCATTTTCAACATCTTATTCTCTATCTTGCTCATTGGCTCTTTTCTTATCAAGGATACTTCTCTGGGAGGAAGCCAGAAAAACAGCCACCAGAAGAGCATCTGGTATTAGGAGCCTCAGTATCTGGAAAACAGCATCAGATGTGTGTTATCTGACTTCCTTCTTACATCTAGCTGTATAGTCTTCCTGCAAAGGAAGCCGGGGATAGTCCACGCTCAGAAGGTCTGGGAGGAACGAATGGCACTGCAGAGAGGAGGACAGGAAAGGGGAAATGGGTGGTGGGAGAAAAAGAGCGGAAAAGACAGGAGGCGAGATCATGTCTGTAGCAATTTTGTAGGCCATGTCTACACCGATCTCCAGCGTTTATAATGCTGGCTGGGGTTTGCTTGCACAAGTGCAGTGACAGTGTTAGGGGCATTTGAACAAGAGCAACTCCATCTTAAATAGGAGCTAGGTAAAATGAGGCTGAGACCTACAGGGCTGCATTCCCAGACAGCTAAGACATTCTAAGTCACAGGGTGAGATAGGAGGTCAGCACAAGATACAGATCATAAAGACCTTGCTGATGTAACAGGTCACAGCAAAGACGCCAGCCGAAACCTACCAAAACCAACATGACCACAAGAGTGACCTCAGGCCATCCTCACTGCTACCCTCCCACCAGTGCCCAGACAGTTTACGAACGACGTGGCAACATCAGGAAATTATCCTATGTGGCCTAAAAAGGGGAGGCATGAATAATCCATCCCTTGTTTTGCATATCATCAAGACATAACCATAAAATTGGGCAACCAGCTGCCCTGGGGCTGCTCTATGGAGTAGCCATTCTTTTATTTCTTTACTTTCCTAATAAACTTGCTTTTGCCGAGCACGGTGGCTCACACCTGTAATCCCAGCACTCTGGGAGGCCAAGGCAGGTGGATCACCTGAGGTCAGGAGTTTGACACCAGCCTGGCCAACATGGAGAAACCCTGTCTCTACTAAAAATACAAAAAATTAGCCAGGCGTGGTGGCACCTGCCTGTAATCCCAGGTACTAGGGAGGCTGAGGCAGGAGAATCGCTTGAACCTGGGAGGCAGAGGTTGTGGTGAGCTGAGATAGCGCCACTATACTCCAGGCTGGGCACCAAGAGTGAAACTTCGCCTTTAAAAACAAAACGAACAAACAAACAAAAAACTTGCTTTCACTTTATGGACTCGCCCTGAATTCTTTCTTGTGGGAGATTTAAGAACCGTCTCTTGGGGTCTGGATCAGGATCCCTTTCCTGTTAACAGCAGAATGAAATTGTGTACATAGATTCATGCATTAAAATATGTCCATTTTTGGAGGGTCAGCTTGGAATACGAAAGCAGCAAAAAGACAGAGTGTGACTTGTTCATTGTGTATTACCCAGAGAAGGGAAAGCTGGCCAGCCAGGGCAGAATTAGCCATATGTAACAGCAGGTCAGAGCTGGAGGGCACCAAAATACATTCATTACTCCTTTCAACCTTCATTACACTTAGGATCCCCTTGTTATTGTTCTAACCAAAGCCACCAGTATTATAGCAATAGCAATAATTATGACACCACAAAATAAGAAGAGTAACAATAATCACTGACATATTTTTTGACAGGCCAATTTCTATATTTGTCAGCAAAATTAATACTTTTTTTTTTTTTAGAGACAGGGTCTCATTTTTGGGTTTCTGTGATCTCCTACCTCAGCCTCCTGGGTAGCTGGGACTACAGGTGTATGCCACTATATCCAGCTAATTTTTAAAAATTTTTTTGTAGAGATGGGGTCTCACTGTTACCCAGGCTAGTCTCAAGCTCCTGGCTTCAAGTGATCCTCTTGCCTTGGCCTCCCAAAGTGCTGGGATTACAGGCATGAGCCACTGTGCCCAGCTCCTTTTTAAAATTATCAAAGAATTAATCATTAGCCCATTTTATAGCCACCAGGATTCTTGTTCTTTTCTCCTCTTCTGGGTTTATTGACCGTTGGAATTGTGAACAAAAGGCAAACATGAAGTCCATAAAGCGCGTTTTATATTTTAAGCCACTCAGATAATGATTCCCTAGAAGAGAAGGTTGAACATAGGAAAGAATATGAGATTGAGAATAAACTATAGATTTCAATTATTCAGGCCGATGCCAATATCCATTTCCATGGGTAATCAAAAGCTGAGTGAGTTAGACATAATTTTTACACCTAACTGGGAAGATAAGAGACTTAAAACACTGTGCTTGTCTCCCTTGTGTGGAAATCAGTATCAGCCTGTCTTCCTTCCCGCCCCCACCCATCACACATATGGCTAAGTGCTTTCTGCTTCCTTCCCTATATTCTCCGTACTCAAAGGTCAACCTGATAACACGCCAGTGAGGTCGGTAGAGGAGGCCTCATATCTCCTGTGACCCAAGCCTGCTCTATCTGCTAAAAAGTAATTGCACACAGCCAAGACACAAAAACATCCCTAGCTATGGTTGGGTGATGTCTATGTGGCTGTCAAAATAACCAGAGGAAACAAGTAAGTGAAGACAGAAAGCTAGCACAAAGCAAGGCGTGTAGAAGGAGCACATCTGTGATTAAAAAGAAAAAAATGCCAGGCACAGTGGTTCATGCCTGTAATTCCAATACTTTGGGAGGCAGAGGTAGGAGGATCACTTGAGGCCAGGAGTTCAAGATCAGCCTGGTCCATGGAGCGAGACCCCATCTCTACCAAAAATAAAAAAATTAGCCAGGCATGGTGGTGCGTGTCTGTACTCCCAGCTACTCAGGAGGCTGAGGTGAGAGGATCTTGAGTGCAGGAATTTTACGCTGCAGTGAGCTATGATCCCACTACTGCACTCTGGCCTGGGGAATAAAGGAAGAACCCATTAGAAAAATAAAAAGAAAAAAAAAAAAAGAAGAGCAGAAACAAAATCCTAATATCAACTTTTTAAAGAAAGGGAGTTACCACAAGTCATCTATGTCTCTAAGATCTATTTCACCCTGAAAATAAATTTATGTATTTGTGTATTCATTCATTCATTCACAGTGCTAAGCACTCTGTGCTTTCAGGGCACACAGTAGCTGGTGCCATGCTTTCCTCAGTAACGTAATACCCTTTCATTGCCTGTACTTCAGATGTGTTTGTGGTTGAGCATGGGAATACTCTTTTGGGGAACTGCATACTCTCTAGGCCCTTCCTCTATGGCCTGGCCTCCTGTTCTCTTGCTGTATTGGCAAAGAAGACAGCTTGCGGGCAGAAGTTTTCTATACCCAGTGCCCTCCTCCCAAGCCCCCAAAGAGATCCAGAACAATAAACAGTGTGCACAGTCCATTAAGCTATCCTTTGCCTTTTACACTGAAAGTCAGTTTGCTTTCCTCGATGTTCATTAAAGAATGAGCTACACAAGGAGAAAGGAGATCATATTTGTACCTGGTCTCTCAGCCTCTCTTGGTGACCCATGATTGCGGATGCGTGATGGGGGTATTTCTGCTTCAGATGTTCTAGGAATGCTTCTCTCTTCCGATCCATCTCAGATGTTTGCATTCCCAGTATTTCCTTGGAACTTCGGGCCCCCCCTAGGGTATGTCTCCTTGGGATATTGCGGGAAGACTTGGAAACTGAACCACGACTGTTTCCATTAGAAAGGCGTTCCTTGGTTCTGCGGCATTCTGCATCTTCTAGCGATGTTACATGCAGATTGCCTTTGCCTTGTTCTGAAAGACAAAAACATTCAGTTCACAATTAATGGTTTCACACTAGAAATCTCATTTGCAGAACACCATCAGGGTTTGCGGCAGTTGTTAATGTATGAATGTTAACTTTGCAAATCTTTTTTCTTTTTCTTTTTCTGCCTTGCAGCAGGAAGGGGAGAAAATCCACAATCAAAGAAATATGAAAAAATCATACTTTAGAAATAAAGATGTTTGCTGGGCATTGTGGCTCCTGCCTCTAATCCCAGCACTTTGGGAGGCTAAGGCAGGAGGATCCCTTGAGCCCAGGAGTTCTAGACCAGCCTGGGTAACATGGTGGACCCTTATCTCTACAAAAAATTAAAATTAGCCAGGTGTAGTGGTGCATGCCTGTGGTTCCAGCTTCTCTGGAGGCTGAAGAAAGATGACTGCTTAAGCCTAGGAGGTTGAGGCTGTAGTGAGTTATGATTGTGCCACTGCATTCCAGCCTGAGTAGGTGACAGTTGTGAGACCCTGTCTCAAAACATAATAGCAAGAAAACCCACAAGTACACTTGTTTAGGCTACTTGCATGCAGGCAATCGGGTTACTCCTTACCCTTGTCTGTAATTATAGAAAGAGTTAACTCCAGTGACTCTGATTATTTCTATATTTTTAATAACAGTTTCATTCTGGTAACAGGATTGTTATGTAAGCTCAGTAGGGTTTCTGAAACATTTGCTTCATCACCAAGAATAAAAATAGCTATCACCCTGTACATAAGTAATCATTGACACATGTGAACCATTTGAAAATTCTATTTTCTTATGCTGGCATAAGCCAAGCAAGCATAAGAATATCATCAGAAGTAACAATCGAAGGCCTATAAAGTAAAGGCTTAGATGAATTTCACTTAAGTGGACTTTACCTAAAACTCACAGTGAAAAGGAAGAGCAGTAGTGCATCCTAACAGCCTGGACCTTAGACATCCTGCCTTCTGAGCTGGCTTTGAAGGGACAAGTTGGTTTCTGCTAAGAACAGATCAACTAAGCCATGCAATGTCAATCCTGAGAGTGAGTAGCATGTATAGGGAATCTCCATTCATCCTCAATGGATGGGAGATAGGGTAACAGGTTTGAATATTCCAGCTAGCTGAGAAAAGAGAGTTATTTTTTAAAACAACAAATAGATTAGGGAGAAAAAGTAAAGCATTCATCTTCATGAAGTCAGGCTCTTCACGGAGAACCGTTCTTATCATACAGTATTGCTGATAGAGGCAGAATAATGTTTCCTTGTCATTGAATTCCCTGGAAAAAGTACTAGGTTGGATCTCAGGAATTTTGGCTTTTATCCGACATTTAGAACAAACAATGTGACCTCTCTCAGTCTCATTTTCTTCATGAATAAAATGAAGATGACTGAACTAACATTAGGTATGCAAAGAGCCATCTACCTCTCAATATTTTAAAACTATTCTAATTGTTTTTTAAAATAAGTTTCCAATAACAGCATATTTGTCAATTGTTTATCTTTACAAATTAAGTGCAGAGAAATAGAGATTCAATATTTGAGAGTTCTGCTCATTTGAATCCTAGATAAACAGAGAACTAAACCTTCACGCTAGTTTTGCAAAGCAACAGGTGTTGAGAGTTTAGGCATAAACCAGCTTCCTGAAAGCAATGCCAACACTCTTTCCCTTGTCTTTGCCTAGACAAATCTGGGTATAGCAACTCTAGTTATAGATGCCCCTTGGTTGGGCAGAGAAAATATTTTAATCTCAGGCTGGTTTTCCTGTTCCAGGCTTCCTACCCTTGATGTGTGTTCTGGGAATAATTCTTCTTGTTTACCCTTCAATTCTCATTACATTGCTAATTATAGCATCTCCATCAGACACTGATGGGGAATGGAAGGAAAAGCAAAGCCAAAGTCAATTCTACTTTTCATTAGTTTTAGCAGTAAGTTTAAAAGGAGAAGAAGATGGAGCTGTTGGTTTCAAAGATATTGGGGGCTACACTGTCACTTCATTTAGGTTACCTTTCTAACATTTAGGCTCACACATGGCTACCTTTTAAATGATCTCTTCCTTGATAATATAGAAACAACAGGATCTGGTGAACAAAGCTAGATGCAGAAAATGCTATCTCAGGTTGATAAATACCTATGCAATCTGAAGAGGTTTAGCTTTATCTTTTGAGTGTGTTGTGCATGGTTTCATAACAGCCAAAATTGTTGTATACTTGATATAACTCTTGTGCCTTTTTTTTTTTTTTTTTTTTGAGACAGGGTCTTGCTTTGTCACCCAGGCTGGAGTACAGTAGTATGATCACGGCTCACTGCAGCCTTGACCTCCTGGGCCCAAGCAATCCTCCTGCCTCAGTCTCCTAATTAGCTGGAACCACAGATGAGAGCCACCATGCCTGGCTAATTTATTTTATCTTTATTTATTTTATTTTTTGCCTTTTCTTTTTTGACACAGAGTCTCACTCCATCGCTCAGGTTGGAGTGCAGTGGTGTGATCTCAGCTCACGACAACCTCCACCTCCCGAGTTCAAGTGATTCTTGTGCCTCAGCCTCCCTAGTAGCTGGAATTACAGGCATGTGCCACCACGCCTGGCTAATTTTTGTATTTTTAGTGGAGATGGAGTTTCACCATGTTGGCCAGGCTGGCCTCGAACTCCTGACCTCAAACGATTCACCTGCCTCAGCCTCCCAAAGTGCTGGGATTACAAGCATGAGCCATCACACCCGGAAACACTATTGACTTTTAAGTGGAGTTTGAAGTTTAGTTTTGACATCATCAAGGAACCATATTTTAAGTTATCCAGGACAGGTAGATTAATTAACAGGATTGAGCCTCTGAAAAGGTGGTTTCTTATGCAGGCATAACACACATCCATCCACATACACATATACAGCAATACTGATAAACGTCCATACACGTTCAATCCCAGCAACAGGGAAGAAAGTCGCATTCTGCCTTACTACGCCGCATAGGCTCATGTGATCTACTGTTTCATCCAAAGATCATCGGCAGAGGTCTAGACAGCCAGGACGCTAAATCCTCAGAGACGATATTTTCTTTTTTGAAATGAGATGGGGAGGGACCTGGATGGGGAGAGTTTTGGGGGTCAGAGCCAATCTTCTGTCCACATTAATCTTTGAGCAGCCCTGATTTAGTGGACTAAACTCAACAAACCCCCGTTTTTTCCCCAGCAGTTTTCGTTGGGAAGGTCACATCAACTTCATACTGCTTTTCTGTTTTTTCTCTTTCTTGTGGATTTTTCTAAAATGTCTCCAGTTGCTTAACAATGATTGATGTGATTTGGAGGAAAGGTACAAACAGTATCAACAATTGGCGAGGCTGGAAGGCTCAATGGAGCCACTTGGCAAACGTTGGATTGCCTTCGGAGCGCTTACCTTCCTTTGGTCTTCATTTCCTGCCTTGTGCCTTCCACCCAATGCCCAATGCTCTAGCATCCTGCCTGCCTCCCCTCCTACCTCGAGGCACATGCTCCACTGTCACCAGCACTCAGAGCCACCCAAAGCCACTTTCCACACAAAGCCACTTTACCCCATCCGTCATCTGAGCCTTTTCCTCCACAAGGCTCAGCTCTCGGAAGCTGTCAGTTCCCACACCTGAGGGAAAAGCAACAACTCTACCATTCCAGCAATTTGGGGAGAAAGTGGTCTTTTCAGTGGAGAAAAACTAAGAAGGATTACAAACAAGAGAGGGAGCAGGCAGACGACATTTAGTCACAATTCCACAGCCATGTTGTCAGAGAGCTGAGCCTGGCCAACTCCTCATTATCCACATGAATAGAGAAAAGCTCAAGTGTGGATTATCCAAGCCATCAAAACAGAAATACAATTTGATTTCTTGTTTGGAATGCGCTTTGGTGTTAACATTTAAATATGGGTGTGTCTAGCTGTTCGCTATTCTGGGAATCCTTGTCAAACAAAATAATGAAGCTGTAGCATGAAGGCAAGGCTTGGGCTTGCTGAAAAGCAGCCCTGTTTCCCCTTCCTGCCCCTCCCAGCCTCTGCAGAGCCCAGGGCAACTCCTCCTGGGAGCTCATTTCAAGCAGGGCAAAGAGCAACATAAGAGCTTAAAGCCGAGAAAACTCCTGGAACATTCCCTGGAGAAGTGAAGACAAGGCAGGCAGAAGTGCTACAGGGACACTCTTCAGGGATCCACGAGGCTCCCAGGCTAGGATTTGGCATTCTGGAAAGAGAACGTGGGAAGTAGGGGCTGGGGCAGACACCAAACACGCAGAGGCTCATGGACGATGGGGCGTCCTCAAGGAGAAAGCTGCACTGCAAATCCCGCAGGCAGGCGACTGCAGGCGCTGCCACGGCCAGCTCCTTCGCCTCAACTCCGGTTACTCTGGCTGGGTCAGCTGACCTGCAGTCAGGGATCTGCGACCTTGCATCAACCCAGCCATTCCACACCCGCTCCAGTGCCAGCAGCAATGCTGACAGCGTCCCTGAGATTGTATTCCTGGGTCAAGATTAGGTAGGCTGCAGACTCCTTAGGGAAGGCGTCCCTCTCTTCTTTCTAGTGGCTTCTGGTTTGTTGTCTCCTTCTGGATTGTGCTGGGAAGCTCTCTTGTCACAGGGAACATCATGGGAAGTTGCTGTTTGGTCTGGTTATATCCTGGCAGAGACAGCCCTTGTGTTCAGCCAGAACCCTCTCCTGCTACACACAGGAAGACCGCATTTTCCATCCAGCTCCATCTCCCTAGGGCCTTGTACTAATTCCAGGTAATGCACTGTGGGCAGAAGTCACATGGGCCGCCTTCAGTGGGGGCCCCTGGACCTCCTGAATAACCTTCCATGTTCTTTCTTTACTCTTTGTCCAGTTGAATACAAAGGATCCAGCAGAGCCCTCCAAAGCCCTGGGGGATAGCACAGTGACAGGGCAGGAGGAACTTCAGTGGCCACCCAGGAAATCTACCTGGCCACGGAAATCACACTGGTGTGTATGAGTGAGCAATTAACCTTGATCATGCAAAGCCACCAAGATTAGAGGGTGGTTATAACAATTAG